ATTCCTTGATTGAAGATGCCTTCTTACTGATATTTGTCAGATCGCATTCTAAATAGGCTGGCATTACTACCAATCACGGCCGTCCTCGTCCCTCTCAGTAACAAATTACCCTCATCGAAGATTATCTCAATCACGCGCAACTCGAATGAGTTCAGCCCAGCATTTCTCCTCCTCTCCTGAAATTTCACCATTATAGTACTCGTTTCTGTGCTTCAGGAAGTACTCCTCAGCAGTGAGCCCCTTCTGGTCCACCAGCTCAACATCAACACAGCCACGAGGGGTCAATGACATGATAGCAGTCATGGCTCGCATAATGGCAGCAGAGCCATACCTCGCCACGTTATGCAGGATGTTCCTCCCGTCCTTGTCAATGGCTGACATGTCTGCGCCTCGACCCAGGAGTAGCTCAACACTTGCCGAGCGGTTGTAAGCCACAGCAGCCAGCAGCGGCGTATGCCCGCTTATGGGCCCCACGACTTCAATGTTCGCTCCCCTATCTAGAAGCACGGTCATGTTTTCCGTGCGGCCATGGTATGTCGCGAGGTAAAGCGGCGTCCGCTCATATCGGGCATCCTTAGCGTCGAGGACGGCACCCGAGTCCAGGAGGAGGTTGATCATGTCAGCGCTCTGCGCAACCTTAGCTACTTCGTGCAGGGCCGTTCGGCCGAAAACGTCCCTGGCTTCGAGATTGGCGGCGCCGTTGATGAGAACTTCTGCGACGTCTTTGGACTGCGAAATCATGGCCCAGTGCAACGCCGTTTTCGAATGTTTGTCGGTAAGGGATGTGTCGGCGCCGTAGTCAACGAGGAGCTGGGCGATGAGAGGCTTTCGGAGCGCTGTCGCCCAGATGAGGGGTGTGCGGCCGAGCGTATCCTGGATGTTGATTGAGGCAAAATTGAGATCGAGGTGAGTCGCAAAGTCGGCTTCGGGAAGGCGAAGAATGGCCAGTGTCAAGGGCGGGAAGTCCATCGTCTCGGCAAGGTCATCATCTTGGAACACTTGGCGGAGCTGATCTTGCTTTTCGATGCGCTCCTTGGAGGCGGTCGGCGGGAGGACCTTCTCGCATGCCATCATCGAGGCGGTACTGAGACGTCAGTGATTGAGGGTTATCTGTGGTGGCAGTTCTAGCTACACCCTGTGTCATCCTGGAAGACCGGCTGACACCTGGTGAGCAGATTTGCATGTTCAGCTTCCACTCACAGCAACTATCATGGGTCTTTAGCCAGTGACGCTGACCAGCTGGAATTGGGGGTGAGCTTACATGTAGGAGAAGACTTCCATCTCGGTCATATCACACGCCGAAACCTTCTTGGATAGAATTTCGATGACTTGAGGCACGGTCCCGTAGTTGATGAACCTCCAAATGGGGTCGCCATCACTCAGAACCTTGGGAATGTGAAGGGTCCACGAGGCACTGTATCCCAAGAGGTCGTTCTTGGACATCTCAAAGAAAACAGCCTTGGCAACCATCCAGCTGGGGAAGTGGTATGTGTATGCTGTCCCCACACTCTTGCTCCGCTGACACGGCATGTAGTTGCAATCTGGCCTACCAGAGATCGGAGAGCCGGCGTAGCTCAGGAATAGAGAGCCAAGAACACCTCTCACCCAGGTTGGCGACCGAATTGCCGTTCGAACGTGGCAGTTGCAAGGGCACGTCGTCTGACACTTGGTCACAGATTGACAACCAGTTATTCCAATCAGCGTCGACGCGGAACTGGAAAAGCTACTCTGTCTATTGAGATGAGGAGTCTTCTCCAGTGACGGGTCGGCGTCGGCCTCATTCTGAATCTGCGGCTTCTGGAGATTGACTAACTCGGCTTTGAATTCGTCAAAGCGTGCAGCAAAGCTTGTCTTGAGGTCATCTAGCGATGTCTGGATTGTCATGTGTGCTTCGGGGATTGCGCTCCTACAGTCGGTTAGCTACACTGGCGATGCAAGACTGTCCATAAGCACATACGTTTGATGGCATGTAACGGACGATATGGCTGTCTGAAGGTTCTGTCTTGTCTGGCGAAGATGCTTCAGGAGCATGACAACGTTCTTCCTCTCCTTGACCCAAAGCCTCCTTGAGATCTTGGGCTTGTCGCCATTTTGCTTGCCAACCGGGCCAGGAGGAAGGATCCGCTGGTGGATGAGCTGGATCTGCTCAAGCAAGTCACGAGCTCGCTCAAGCAATGCCAGCAGACCAACGCTCGTCTCGATGCTGGTCGTCTTGAATGTCTTCAACTCAATCGTATTCTCGATCACGGTGAAAAGCAGGCGAACGTCGGTGATCTGCAAAGCAAGCGCTGTTAGGTGGCGTCCACTGTGGACGAAGCGAGGTGCTCACCTCATTTCCCAGCGCAATCACGTCGAGAGGCGCATTCCTGAACTCCTGGACCTTCTGCACAGCTGCCGCCGTAGCGCCCGCAACCCCGAGCACAGTGATAATGCTCGCCGTCAACGACAATGGATCGGCCATGAGAATTTTCTCGTCGTACACGCTAATATTACGGCCCCATTTCTTGTAGTCGGTTTCCGAGGGCCTGCGGCCGAAGAAGGAGGGCGTCCAGCCCATTTTGAGAACGCGATTCGTGGGGGTGCGCGGAAGCAGCTGTCTGTTTCGAGCAGGTGGGTGTCACAAAGATATCGTGCTCGCCTCAGTTTTCGCCCGGGGTGTCAGTCAGGCAACGAGTGCGGCGACAGATATAGTCTCACGCGGGGCTTGCAGAATGATAACTGCGGGTGGCGTGGCAAAAGTGAGGTGAGTGGCGTGAAGGCGACGAATCCGCCTCGAGAACTGCCTGCAGGGTCTGACGGTGGTCTGAAGCAGGCTGGGGCTGAAGAGGAAGAGAGGAGAGAGATGGACTGCGAGCGGGGTTGCTTCACTCGAGTCGCAGGCTGTCGTGAAGGCTTTCTTCGGCAGACAGGTGGCACAGAGCCTATCACATCATGCTCTGCCTGGGTGACCTGCATACAGGACACTGGGGCTGTGTCTTTGGTGGCGGGCGGCACACAAGTGGAAGATGTCGACGAGCCTTTTGCCAGATCATCCTTTTCATCGAGAACGCCGACGCAGAGTCTTTCTGCCGCCATTGCCATCTAGCGCTATGCAATTGAGATCGCCCGGGGCTGATACCAGTTGGCCTCAAAAGTCTCCCCTTGCATGAGCCCGTGAACATAGGTCGGGCCGACGAAATGGAAAGTCTCCTTTTCCTGACGAATAACAAATAGATGACGGCCTCCGTGAAATAGGCAGATATGATCTCCTGTTCGGCTTGTCACAGGTACAGCTCCTAGATACCCCCCCTCAATAGCCGCGAGGACGCGATTGCGGGATTTGCGGCGAGTAGCATCAATAAATTGCCTGGCCATGTCTTTCTCTTTCGTTGGAGATGAAGCCTCGTTGCTGTTCATGTGGGCGTCGTAAAAGGCGCGATACCCTGCCGTCGCCGGTTGCTCTCCAGCCGTGAGATCGCCAATGAGTGTCCTCCAGAGGGCGTCGGTCAAGTCCGGTTCTCCAGGATAAGGACCCAGCGGCTTGATAAATTCCAACTGCTCTTGAAGCCACTGGTTCCTTTCCGCGCTCGAACCGGTCTTGAAATAGTGCGGGCCGATGGGGCTTGAGAATTTTGTGATTTGGCCGATCAAACAGCCGGATACTTCGATCGTTCTGTCATGCACTTGAATGCGCGCCTTGGTAGAGCCAGCTGCCTTGTAATACCAGTCTCGGTTGACGTATTCTGTGCCAAAGACCCAGCTTGACCAGTCAGGGACCCATGAGGGAAGATCGAGCTTTTTCGAACCAAGGTTGTTCGAGAGGAAGTTGACGTCTTGATAGAGCGACAGAATACTCCCAGCAACCCTGGTGTATAGTTCTTCGGTCGCTTGGGTATAATCGACCGTCACGCCGAGTGCCTCGCGGTCGACTGCAAGCCCTAGAACGGAGAAAATCTTGTCCTTGGGATCCGTTGCCTGGAATGCATGGAATTGCGGCAACAAGTTCGACAGACGAAATTGAGCCCTCTTATCGAGGATAGCTCGTCGGACGCCGCCAAGAGCGAAGACACACTCTCCGATGGCCAGCGGATCTTGCCCGGATGCAGGCAGAATGTGTGCTGGGAGGCGTCTGGCGAAAACAAGTCTCACAACTTTCGAGAAGAGCTCCCAGTCACGCAGCTCTATGGTACCACACATGACTGTTAGGTTCCTGTTAAGAAGGAACTCTTGACCGCACCAGCATCGAGTCACCTACGTTGTCAGCAGGGTTGATGAACCTGAACTTTGTGAAATGAAAGACATACCCAAGTTCTGGTCAAGACCTTCCTGAGAGCTTGCCACCGCGGGCTCGTGATGGCAGGAAGGCCGAGATTGGGGAGCTCCTCGGGGATGTGGATACGCGGGTCGGAGTGTCGTAGTCGTGAGACGCCGTAGGCAACGAGGTTTGCTGCAAACTCGATAGCGGAAGAACTACCGTCTGCCTCTGGCCCTATGTAGGTGAGAACGCGGGTTGCATTCCTGTAGATTTCACCCATGAGGGTCACCTGTTTCGTGCGTTCAACAAGATCATCCTGGTTGATGCATATTCCGTCTGCCCAGATGGTTCGCACACCTGCTTTTCGTCGAAGGTCCCGTAACGCCTGGTGCAGCGACGTAGTGATCGGGATCGACCCATGATCAAGGTCAAAGTTACAGACACGATCAGGTGCGCCCCATTCGTAGGACAACGCTTCGTAGGAAGCCTCGCCTAGAAGCACGGTTTCGATGGTGCCACACAGCACATCTTTGCGGGACCCTGGCGCCAAGTGAATGATCCTAATCTGGCGCGGTTGGCTGAGCGGGATGTAACTCGTCATGGTTTTCGGAGTAGATACTGTAGCGCGCTGGGAAGAGAGGGCGTTTCATGTCCGTCAAAAGAGGGGGTGAGAAATCGCATTCGAATGTAGCGCATTTCTGGCCAATGGTTGCGCCGCACATGGCGCTGGTGAACTCGATCCATCGCTCAGCTCTCTCCAGGCGGTGATATTCTGAGTTCGTTCTTACACGAGACCGACTTCTAACTAATTCATCATCGGAGTTATTTTCACCGAGCAGACGGTTTACATTAAAGGCCATAATCAGCTCATCACACGATGCGCTCATGGTGTACCTCCGAGAACAGTGAAATTAGCATATTCCTTGGAGCTCGGTGCATCCGAAAGCGTTCATACTCGTTTGCGCATCGCATAACCAGCAAGCGAACCTATCAGATGTCATATGAAACGTCTTGCGCAATACTATATGCTTTTATTGACCACGCCTTTCCCCTGCTCGGCTCAGCAGCCGCTGCCAGGACCCAATCAACTTGCAACAAGTCTTGCAGACTTGTGATCTTCACACAGTACACAAGACGGAGAGCATACAGGCGCCGCGCTTTTTTTAACCGTCCATTTGGTCATCAGCAATGACGGCAGTAAGCACGGAGGAACATTGCGCGAGCTGAACTCAAACCTACCTACTGATGGACGGCGCCGCGCCGATCCCCCGGCCATAAACGGCAGCCGCCCGCTCCGCCCCGCACGGGAGTGCAGCGCAGTGGGCAGCGCGGCCAACCAATTACGGTCGGAACTGTGACGCTGAAGACCCTAACTTGTCTTTCAAAGGAAGGAGCTGGAGAAGGTTGAGTTTATTCTTGTAGATCCTACACGCCCTCAACCCTGTGTCTCAGCAGTCAGAGTCTCATCCTGGGCGTGGATTCCCATGGGTCTTTTCGCATGAAAGAGGGGTCCTGTAGCTGCAGGTAAGCCAGAAAGAACGTTGATCATCTCAGCTGATCGTCTCGAGCTTGATGATCTTGACCAAGGTGTTCGTGACCTACGCGACAGTTACGAGATCAGAAAAGGCAAGTAGCTGTTCTCGTTCTCATCATTGGCTATGGAGGCAGATGATCATCACTCCCGGGTGCTACGTTGTTGCAAAGAACGGGTAGTTCATGGTGTAAGCCTCGGCGCGGTGATGCCGCGAGACCGTTTTTGTGTAACAACAACTGAAGGAAACCATGTCATGATTGCAGCAGCACCAGCTGAGATCAGGTGAGATATGCGAGCAGCTCCAAAGTATAAAAGCCGTTGGCCTCTGGCTTGATCACGACATACTGCTCCCAGTCACAACATCGTTCACACTCCAAGAGACCATCAGCTGCACTTATTCCTACTCATCTTATTATCTTCCATCCAACCTTCAACATGAAGACATCGTTTGCCGTCATCTTCACCGCCCTTACCGCCGTCATGGCCGCTCCTCAACTCGCCGCCGACGCACCTATTGAGGCTCGCCAGGACAACTGCTTCCACCCAAGCTCGTGCTCGGCCTTTTGGTCGGGCAAATGCCAGGACTACTGCGACACACGAGGCTTTCTCGCACATGACCGGTGATGGGTGCGGGGCCTCAGGAAGAAGTGCTGCTGCATCAGACCCTAAGACAAGGCATCGTATCAAAGTTGTGGAATGGTTCCAGAGGTCGGTCAGAACGCTAGCAAGCACATGGAACATGGGTATGGGATGTGAATCAGGACGAGGCTTGAATCATGAGCCGGGAGCCCAGGCCTTCTTACGGTCAATCAAACATGTCGGCCAACCAAGCAATCAAATAGAGAGAGTCAGCACCACGCTTTCGGCTCTTCCGAATTTAAAGGGCCCCCGAGTCAGTCAAAAAGATCTTCAGGTACCCTGCTTTCTACCATTGCAGTTCAGGTGAATATCTGAGTGAATTGCATGAACCCCGCAGCCAACCCCTGGCTTGTCCTTTCCGCATCGAGGCCTCAACGCCGTGTACCTTGCCCTCGACAGTGAAGGCGCGCAATTGGTGCCAAGCTTTCAATTGATGCACGTGTCGACAACGGTTTCTCTATAAGTGCCCTTTGTTATCACATGAGAAGCGGAGATCGGCCGCCCTTTCTTGCTGCGGCGCCTTTGACCATCACTGTCAAGTCTTTTCGTCGTGTCCGCTCTCCCTGAAGCAGTCATTCCTTCGCCCAAGATGAAGTTCTCAGTCGTTGTCGCGCCTCTAGCGCTGCTCCTCAACGCCGTCGCCATTTCCGCCCAGGGCACACAAGCCGTTCGCGCCGTCACTTTCAACATCCGCTACGACGCAGGCTCTCGTGAGTCGGGCGAAAAGCCCTGGTGGGATGCTTTCTGCTGGGCCTCTGCGTCGCGTTGCCGCCAGCCACACGTCATCAACCAGCTGTCCCAGATCGCGGCCGGCGCCCCCTCAGGCGCAGTCACCGTCATTGGTCTGCAGGAGGTCCTCAACAACCAGCTGAACGACATCAAGAACGGGCTCGGATCCGGCTGGTCGCACATTGGCGTCGGGCGCGACGACGGCCGCACCAATGGCGAGTTTTCGCCCATACTGTACCGGCCTGCTGCTCTACGCGTGCTCTTCTCGGAGACAAAGTGGCTTTCCCCGACCCCGGACGTCGTGTCGTTCGGATGGGGCGCCGGCTCCAGACGTGTCGTGACTCTCGCCGTCTTCGAGTCTGTCACCACAGGCAAGCGCTTCATCACGCCAACACGCACCTCGACAACGTGAGTTCCCAGGGCCGCAGCGAGGCATCCGCGTGGTCCTCGCCAGGATTCAGGCCGCACAGCTCGCTTGGGGCCCCATCGGCGTCTCGATCACGGGCGACTTCAACTCCCAGACTGGCCGGCGACGCCTATCAGACGCTCCTCAACAGCGGGTACGCGCAAGATCTCTACAACTTGGCGACGCCGGCGCAGAGGATCGGACCGTACGGTAACACCTACACGACGTTCACTGCGGGCGCGCCCACGAGCCGCATTGACTTTATCTGGCTTGGGCCGGTGGCGGACAGGAGGTACTCTGTGCAGCGATACGAGATCCTGAGCAATGAGGCCAGCGGGATGCTCTTCAGCGACCACAGGGCTGTCGTGGGAGACGTCACGCTGCTTTGATGGGAGCGGCAAGCAATACATGGTGGCGTGGATGGTTCGCCTGCCTGCCTGGATGGCTCTGGAAGCGCGGAGTACTACCTATGAAGTCCAAGCTTCAAAGATGGGCGGGAATCATAGCCACACTGTTCAACAGCTGCGCCCCTCTCCTAAGAATAAACTAGTCTTTCAGTCCCGGTATCCGGCTTCGCCGTACTTTTCCTCGCATCCGAGCATGTGGTCCTGTGCTAAGCCAGCAGCATCAGGCTCCAATGGGATAGTGCCCATGCATTGCTGTGAATCCGGTTTCTTGTGGCATTGAACGCCCATGCGAGTGAGTCCACCTGGTTCAGCGCCACTACTGACGGGTGCCTCCTTTCGGTGGTACCAGATGGAGTAAACCCGCAGGGTCGTTGCCAAAACAACAAAAGCAAAAGTATATCTTCCGATCGGGGAATTGAACCCCGGTCCCCGGCGTATGTCAGAACTCGAGGTCCTTTGATGACAAGCCGATATCCTAACCACTAGACTAATCGGAATGAGAGATATTTTCGGCGGCTGGTGGAGCACGTTGTGAGGGCTGAGGATCTGCCCCGTTCCGGACGGGGCTTCCGAGTTGACCAGTCCCAGCAGAGTTAGAGTTGCAGAATCCAAACGCGACCGAGGCTTCTCGTTTGATGTTCATGTCATTAACTCCTTAGCACTCTTTCCATGTGGCTAGTACGACGATGACTGAACAAGTAGATTACATGTGTGGCCTTAGCCGCGACTCCGATCAAATGCGCAAAAGATGTCACTTGCGAGATTGACCTGAACGACGGGATAATATTACAAATTGAGGTCTGGCAGTTTTTTGCAGCATGTCGATCCAAAACCCAGTTGGAAACTGAATGCATGGATCCAAGCTTTCCTGGGCATGTATGTCTATTCCGGTGATTTCCAATTTAGAAGACTCAGTGCACGCAGTTCCTTGGTCCCGGAAGTCAATGCCGAGTGTGATGGTTCCATTGCATACCTCAATTTCAGGTACCTTGAACGTGCCCGGATTTATCATCACTGAAGTCTGCCATCAGCTCCACGTCAAAAATGGCCTGTTTGCGCATCCGGATATGTGGAACGCAATGTAAAAGCAAAAGAATGAGGCATTTTCTATTATCTCTTGAGAGCCTCAAAGCTGCCCTTGTTTTTTCGCAGTGCCACGTGTTGCAATGTCCGATGTATTTGTTGAAACGTGTATGACGGTTCTGCGTATACTCGGTAAATGAATCTGGTTTTCTGTGGAGACCCTCAAAAGTTCATGCAGACATAGAACGACACTGCCTTGAGCGGTCGTTCGATTGACTGAGGCAAGTCTCATGTTATCGCCAGCCGATACTAACTAATATTGAGATTTTGCTAGGCTAACAGGATCTGGTCTTCGGCAAATCCAAGACCCTATATCCAGCTCAGACTCTCAGTTTCGAAGGATTGCCACTGTAAACGACAGGTGCAGACCGAATTCGTAGGTTGGTTCCCAATCATGTACTGGGGTGAGTCCGTGTTCCGCCTACTGCCATTGATTGGGTTGGCTCTTTTTGAGCTACTTATCTAATTAACCTCAAAAGACAGCTACAAACCAATTTACTCACAGACGTGGTCCAACTATATTATACGAAAACCAGATCATGCTTGAGTCTAGCTTTCGACTTGTTGTCTCCAAATAGTCGAACGGCTTCGCATTTGGCGCCCCTAACCCGCGAGAAGACCCCGTTACCTAGAGAATAAATGAAGGGTTGGTGAAGGCTACATATAACAAGACCTTTCAATGGTTTTGAATGAACAGAGATCACAATCGTAGTCCAATTATCACGACTATAGCACCGTATGGAAAATGCCACCCTGATGTTGCATCCAGCTGGACACCGGCCTGAAACACCAGTGCAAGGACAGCTTAAAGAGGTTCCAACAAGGCGATGTATGCCTGGTATACATCAAACATGTTCCGATCATACACGAACGGAAAGACTAAGCATGCGAGTCTACCCCTCTTCAGGCCGAGGGACTGCAGCACAAGAGGGGCCAAGAAGGGGCCCGCTTTCCCCGGATTTACCCCAGAGTCGAGGCGTCGCAAGTGTTGATAAGAGATAAGAGGACCCCGCCCGGATGCGGATCCGGTGGAAATGGCCCCACGTGATGTCCCTGCGTAGGTTCCCGCACGCATTCCCATCTTGGACCCCAACGTCACGCGATCGTCTGGCGAGCACGTCAGGGCGTGGCATGATTGGCCTGGGTACCGTCTACCCCGCTCGGTGTGACGAAAGCGTAATTGGGTCGCTGCTACGATTGCGCCGCCAGAAGGCAAGTCGAGGCAGGTAAGTCACCTCATACTCGCCAGACGCTGGCAGTGGCATGACGGGGTGGGGCGTTTGCAGGCAAGGCAGGGCCCCGGCAGTGGTAGCTCTGCTCCTTCCCCCCCCCCCTGCTCTGCGCTGGGGGGTGGAGAGGTGCGGTACAGGCTGAGGGTGGGCTAACGACGTCAGGTACCGTCTCACTGGGCTGATGCGCGGTCGTGACTTCATCGGTTGTCTGGTGACCTCTCCCAGACGAACCGGCGAGATCAGCTAGAGGAGAGAGAGAGGGGAAAGGGCAGGAGCAGCTCAGCTTCGGAAACGGATCAGCGCAACAAAGCAAGCATCAGCCACGGCTACGCAGGAGCTACCCCTCCCTGGCCTCCCTCGCACCTCCAGCTTCACGGGCTGTTTGGGTTGCGCCAATGTCACGGATGCCGTGGATGATGGCGATTCTCTTTCCTCTCCCCCGTCCCCCTTCGTCACGGCTATGCATTGGCACAGAGAGCGAATGATATGATGTGATCTCTCATCTTCGTCCCTGGCTCCCCCCTCCCCCCCCCGAGGCCAGGACCTGTGCCTGGATCAAGATAGATGGGTGTGCCTGGCCCGAAAGATGGGGCGAGGGAAACAGTACTACTGACTTGAAGCAATGCATTGCGTCTTGTGACCTGACACGACCGATCCCCATGCATCCCGTCAGTGCCCCGTTCCGTTGATCAGCCCCCCCCCCCCCTCCAGTTACGTACCTACCTCGTTCCATCAGCTTCCCCTCCCCTCACCATCAAAACCAGCTCTCTTCCCCTCTTCATCTTCCTTTCGAACTCCTCCCTCCTCACAACCACCTACAGCTCCCACTCCCACTGCCGTTCATCAGACCAAAAGGTACACCTCAATCGCGCTCCCTTGACGCTCATTCTAGCAGCCTCGAGCATCACGCGAGCCATTGAGCTGACGGCAGCTCCCAGAACACGCTTCCCGCATCGCTACCTTGCACTGCCCCTTCTCGCTCGCCAAGCAGCCTACCCAACAAGGCAAACCCATACCATCACCATGACTGAACCACTCTCCAAGGTCGACTCTGCCGTCGAGGGTCTCTCTGGCTCGCCCCCCAAGGAGAAGGCAAAGCGTAGAGCGAGTTCCCACGTTCCCGGCGTGTACAACATTCTTGACCTCGGTACGTCGTGGGTTCACCGGAGCCGCGCGCCCTTGTCCCGGATGGCCCGGATGGCTGCTAACGTGACGCAGAGGAAGAGAAGACTGAGATTGAGCTTGCGCCAGAGACGCAAAAAACAGGATGGTAAGAAATGACCTGCGTGATGTGGTCCCCTCCCGCCCGACCGCCATGAATTGAATCGCGCGGCATGCTGGCGCGTGTGCTTTGCGAGGCGAGTGGTTGGCTGATGGCGTTACCCCGCACAAACAGGAAGATCAACACGAGCTCCGGCACTGTCGAGGACAAGGACATCCTCAAGCTGCACCTCACAAAGCCACCAGTCAAGCGGATCGACCTCCACTTCCCACTAGGCATGGAGGTGACGGCAAGGAACCTCAAGGGCGTGACCATCAAGGACGCCATGGACGCTATTCACAAGGCGTACAAGAAGAAGGTGAGCACTTGCCGCATGACGTGTGAGCACCGACTGCCTCGACCCCATCACTGACCGGCTCCAGTCGGATGACGAGCTTGACAACCCCTACCTCAAGGGCTTCGAGTGGGACAAGGAGGAGTCGTGGACCCGCCTCGTCGTGCACCTGCAAAAGGACGCCGGCCTGCCAGCGGGCGGCGGCAAGAAGAAGAAGAGCAAGAAGGAGGAGGAGTAAGGAGGCGGTTGTCTCGTTTCCGCTCTCCGTCGCTCCATGGTCATGGCCTCGTTTTGGCGCGCCCCTCCACCACTCTTGTGCCTGCATGGCCTTTTCTGCCTCCCCCCCCCCTCTCCTCCGTTGGCGTGGCTCCTGGTTTCCCTTCTTGGCGCGTGACAGTGGCGATGGCGATGGCGCTGGGTGTTTTGGTCGGGCGGCGATTGCGCGCCCATGATGGCGGCGGCGCACCACTGCCGCTCTCGGATGACGGCAGGGGCTTCTTGTTCGCATAGGTGTCGTGTGTACGGTATGGACGGTACTGGGGTACTGGGAAAGACGAGCGACGGACTCGGCCGTAGGTCACTGTGTCAACGAAGAGAGTATTGGCTCGTCATGCATCGCGCAACTGCTTGTGATTTCTCTATGAAGTCCCGTCTCGTCAATGCGACGGCGCCGATGCATCATGCCACGGCGCCGATGCATCATGCACGGCGCCGATGCATCATGCCATGTCGCCGAACGTGTAAGCATGTCGTTGAGAAAGTGGACATGGAGGAGCTCTCAAGCGCGAATTTGGGCATGAGGAGCCCATGTCCTGACCCACTCGGCGACAAGGGGTCACGATGCACGGCCGACACAGACGCATCGATAAGCAAGCAGGGCAAGGTGCCGAGAGGTGTCTGCACATGTGTGGGCGGATGCATTTGGGATGTATCGATTGATAGCTTGCTGATTGCGTTTTTGAAATGGCTTGTTGCGACCCGTGTAGCCTCAAACACCCGAAGCGATGCAGCAGCGATGTCAAGGCGAGGCCACCATCATCAGGCTCGCTCACGTCACATCAGAGGCTTGTTGCTTACCTGAGGTAGGTACGGTAGCAATGGTAAGCAGGCAGGTACCTAGGCACCCAGGTTTGTCGTGGCGGGGTAGCACTCCCTGGACAGAACCCGCTGAACAGCCCTAACAGAGCCCCTCACAGGAGAGCCCCTAACAGGAGGGCTCTACGTTTATAGGGAGCTCTGTTAGTGGAGCGTACACCCCCGCCGCGTCTCGGAATGGGAAGGCCCAAGCAGGTGCACTCGGCTAGCCACGGTAGGCCGCGCTTGCCCTTCGCCGTTTCGAGTGCGGAACGCAGACGTCGGCTTAACCTGTCGACACACACGCTTTGAACGTCATGCTACAAGCTGCAACGACAGAGGATTTTGAGTATTTGAGAGCCATGGAGCTTCCCCTCTTTCGTGGCCGTTTCTTCGCTGCTGCTGGCATCAAGTGACCGAGCCATCACTCATCTCCATACACAGACACACACACACACATACACACGCACACACATACACACACACACGTACAGCTGCCCAGCATGCCTGTCACCAAGTTTGACGTCCCAGAGAAGTACCGATACCAGGTCGGCTTTGATGCCCATCTCGAGTAAGCAATCCGTCCCCACGCCATGAGACCATGCCGGGAGAGCATGTGACTGAGGCGTCCAGGTCGGAGGCCATCCCAGACTCTCTTCCCATCGGCCAGAACGCACCACAAAAAGCCCCGCACGGCCTCTACGCCGAGAAGCTCTCGGGCACTGCCTTCACAACACCTCGCCACGAGAACCGCCAGGCTTGGCTCTACCGCATCCTGCCGTCCTGCGCACACCCTCCCTTTGGCCCGGCGAAACCGTCACCAGACAGCGACGTCAACGAGCGCACCAACACGTCGAAGCTCCACTACATCCCCAACCAGCTGCGATGGGACCCCTTCGAGCACGACGCCACCCAGGCGCTCGATTTCGTCTCGGGCCAGCGCCTCGTCGCCGGTGCTGGCGAACCGACATTGAAACAGGGCATCGGCATGTACATCTACGCGGCGGGCAAGAGCATGGCCGACGAGACGGCCTTCTACTCGGCCGATGGTGATCTCCTCATCGTGCCGCAGGAGGGGACCCTCGACATCCGCACCGAGCTCGGCTACCTGCTCGTCCGCCCCATGGAGATTGCCGTGATCCCCCGCGGCATCAAGTACCACGTCGCCCTGCCCGACGGCCCAGCCCGCGGCTACGCCCTCGAGCTGTACCAGGGCCACTTCCACCTCCCCGAGCTCGGCCCCATCGGCACCAACGGCCTCGCCAACGCCCGCGACTTCCAGGCCCCGCGCGCCGCCTTCTCTGAGCACCACGGCGCCACCGCCCACGACGGCCCCGGCGCCTACACCGTCACGGTCAAATTCAACAACGACTTCTTCCAGACGACCCAGCCGCACACGCCCTTTGACGTCGTCGCCTGGCACGGAAACTACTACCCCGTCAAGTACGACCTCGGCCGCTTCAACACCATCGGCTCCATCTCCTACGACCACCCGGACCCCTCCATCTTCACCGTCCTCTCCGCCCCCTCGGGCGTCCCCGGCACGGCCATTGCCGATTTCGTCATCTTCCCGCCGCGCTGGCTCGTCGCCGAGGACACCTTCCGCCCGCCCTACTACCACCGCAACACCATGAGCGAGTTCATGGGCCTCATCGCCGGCGGCTACGACGCCAAGCGCGGCGGACGCGGCGGCTTCGTCCCCGGCGGCGCGAGCCTGCACAACACGATGAGCGGTCACGGCCCCGATGCCGAGAGCGGCGAGGCCGCGCGCGCCGCTGAGCTGCGGCCCGCCAAGGTCGGCGACGGCAGCTGCGCCTTCATGTTCGAGAGCTGCGCCATGGTCGGCGTCACCGAGTGGGGGCTGCGCACCTGCAAGAGGGTCCAGGAGGGCTATTCGGAGGAGAGCTGGGGCGGCGTGCCCGTGCATTGGAAGCGGCCTGAAGGGGTGCAGGCCGAGGGGCATCTTTTGAGGTGAGGTCCTGTGCACATGTCTGTCGTTGGTGTGTGGGGCTGGAGTCGACGTCTTGGAGGAGCATGGAGCGCGTCAGTCAACCGTGCGGTGCGACACTGCAGCGAAGGAGCGCCTTCGCATTCGACTTGGGAAGCATGGCGCACCATTTCAGAATCATCTTGACACGCGACCGTTGGTTCCACTGTATCGTGACATGCTCGAGCATCTCATGGTCGCGCTGGGCGTCCTCTTGCTCTGTATTGGGCCTGTTTATGAACTTGCATCTGCACTCCTCATCTCGCGGCCCTCACCCTGCGTGAGCTCCGCAATCATGGCCCTCAACCTGCGTGAGCTCTGCAATCATGGGATGCCTCGGAAACCGAAAGATGGTATTTTGGAAGAAGCATAACTATGTGAACAAAATACGAAATCTGGCTCATCCCTGGACGTCCCGATGCACATGTCCGCTCACACACACGAAGAAGTCCAACTCGCCGTAAATCCAGCTCGCTCCCAGCACCCACGAGGCACCATCTACGTGCGCTTCCGCACCGCCGACGGCGTGACCCAGAAATAGAAGCGGAAAAAGTTGAGAAAGGCCAGCCCCGTATACGTGACGGGCACGTACCGCGCGCCGCGCCGAATCCACCACAAGGCCACGACCGCCGCCCACCGCGCGCTGACGAGCGCCGGGCCCATGGCGGACGAAAAGGCCGCCGGCACGACGTGGCGGTACGTAAAGTCGTCGTCGTCACAGTAGGCGCGCGCGCACCGCGCAAAGGCGCGCTTCGCGTCGGTGTACGCGCGCATGTCGTCGGTCCACGCCCCGTGCAGCTCGGCCTCGCTGCCGACGTACCACACCTCGGGCCGCAGCAGCGACGACGACGACGACGACGACGACGGCGACAGGCACGCGCGCGCGCCTGAAAAGCCCTCGAATGATGGCGACGGCGCTGTCGCAGTTTGGCGCGCTGGGCGTCGGCGCCCTTGGCGCCGTGCGCGAGGACCAGAATGTCCGTCGTCCGCAGCAGCGGCTCGAGCGCGCTGTAGTCGTCGTAGGTCCAGTCGAGGCCGAAGCGCGCCGTCCGCACCGTCGCGCCCTTTCTCGCGGCCGAGCTCGTCGGCCAGCGCCCGGCCGAGGGCGCCGCGCGCGCCGGTGATGGTGATGCGGCGGCCGTGCAGCGTCGTCGCCGTGCCGAGGAGCCAGTCGACGAGGCGCACCATCGAGCCGAAGTAGCCCTGCGGGTCGACGTGGTGGAGGGCGTGGTACTCGGGGCCGACGAGGACCGCGTGGGGGTCCTTGGGCAGCCGCGTGTAGGCGATGTGGTTCGAGTCGCGCCCCTCGTGCCAGGCCACCACGCCGGAGCGGATCGTGAGGAAGACGAGCACGAGATGGAGATCCTGGCGCTGGAGCTGCGGGTGTGGGAAGAGCACGTGCGTGAGCTGCCAGCTCAGCAGGCTGCCGACGGCTTGGCACACGAGCTCGAGCGGCAGGTGGAGCAGGAGGTTCTGCCTGTTGAAGGACGGGTTGAAGTGCAGCCGTCTGTCGAAGTACTGGTGGTGGGCGATGTGGCTGCGTGCGAGCCAGCGGAGGAGCGGGTTCCTCGAGCGGCCGGAGTGATGGGCCAGGCAGTGGACGAGGTCAAAGAACACGGAGCCGACGACGACGTGGAGCGCTGACGAAGCAACGCAGTAGGCCAGGGCCGAGGGCCCCAGGGGAAGTGAAACGACGTGTCGAGAGAGACCATTGTGAAGCGCGATCAGCAGGCGACGGGCATAGGGGGGGGGGGGGTCCATCGATCGGACAGCTCGGCAGCCAAGAGGGTTTCGCGAATTCTTATACATCAAAGCAACCACATATAGCTTCACCAACAACAACAACAACAACCCCTTCTCCCCCCCTCCCCTGTTCAGCGTCTTCTGAAGAGGTCCATACGACGCGGCTCTTGGCCAGATCAAGGTTGACGTCCAGGCAGCCGCCCGAGGGCAGTGAAATGCGATGGAGAAACGTGCTCAGCGCGCGCTGTGCGTCGGATTTTTCGTATCATCAGAGACGAGACGGACCGAGTCTGCCTCAGTTTGCTGTGCTACGGGGCAGACTCTCTCGCCTTCCGCTGGCTGCTCAGAACCGTCGATCGTGTCCAGGCACCAGCGATGGTACCTGGTGCGCCTTGTCGCTCCACTTGTGCCTTGCAGAGACCCTGATGCAGGGTCTTCCTCATTTTAAGGTAGGCAACCGTTATTCTGCTGCGCCGGTATGGAGCCATCTTGACACACCATGACTCTCCAGATGCCTAGGTAGGTAAGGTAAGGTGAGGTGAGGGTAGGGAGCTTGCATTGTTTGCACGGCGTGTCCCCACTTGGCCATTTCTTCGTCGTTAGGCACCCGAATTCTCCAAACGCCGTGCGCTGAACCGGGACGATTCAGTCGGATCCGACCATCGGATTCGACAACTGATCGTCGGAAGCGAGGTTGGCTCATTGTCAACCGGCGCACGCTTCAACACACAACCCTTTCCCTTGCAGGAACCGCATCGGAATGACCAGGTAGAAGGGCCAGTCGTTTACCTATAGTACATGATGCGTAAACCGGGGAGGATGGATCGCCGGGGCAGGGAAAGCTCAACGTATGCATACGGCCAAGTCATCACGCAAAGCATCACTCAAGTAAGGTGCCATGTTGCAGGTACCGCAGCGGACCAAACCTCAGGTGCTCGTGGACCTCGAGACCATATCTTGGCTCGTGCGGACCAAGAGCGGGAAGGCGGCTGTGGGCTTGCTCAGCACGAAGCATCTCCACGCGAACGCGAGACGCCCAGCACCCCGGCTCCCTGCAAGGCAGAACAGGCTCGGATCGGGTCTTGAGGCTCGTAAACGAACCCTTCGCTTTCCTCGGGTTAGGATACCGGTAGCGGCAAGGTACCTCTGTGGGGGTCCGGAATCACGGTGGAGCCGCCGGAGGCCCCCTTTCTTCGAGCCCCACAAGACGACCGGGATGGGGGCGACTATCGAAACCCACGGGAGCGAGGACCGAAAGCGAGAAAACCTGGGAAAACGCCTACGACGAATGCGAGTGACATCAGCTGCAGACGCGAGCAGCCAAACAGAGAGCGGCAGCTACCAACTGGGTGCATGATGCTCAAGACATGGCCCGGCTGGGCCGTCAGAGGCCAGACTGGCAAGACACGATGAATGCGCCAGTAGGCCGTATTTTATGACGCTGCTGTTGAATCAGTGATCCTTATCCATCTCTGGTGTCGATTCCGACGCCACTCATTCTCGACGTACTGGACCTTAGCATAAAGCATAAGGGAGAAGGAGCCCCCATGCTTAGGAATCGAATATGAGCGCTTGCTTTAGAGCAGAGTAAAGAGCTCTTTCATATGTGGTCCGTGCCGCCGGCAATAGAGTATAGGTAGGGGGTCGGACTAGATCTGAAATCTAGCCCTCCGCGGCTTGGAGGGCCCTTCGTAGTCCTTTTATGCATGTTGTCGTAACCATTGGCCCCCAATCGGCCCGCTTGTTCGGTGGCTCCGCAGCGCGCACCTCACAACCCCAGTCTCCATCCTATTGATACAAACGACGCCAAGTGACCCAGCACTCAAATTGATCATTCTGCATGCTGTTTCCCTCGGTCAGACTGCTTCACGCTGCCATTCTTTTCAAGCGGCGGTATTACCGAGCCGAATGTTGCGGTGCGGAGACCTCGACCATCAGACCAGAGCCTATCGGCTGAAAGGTCCATAGCAAGTCTCAACAAACATGGCGGGGACGTCGATCCTCTCTCATCTCCAGCGGTCGAGCGCAAATAGAGTCCACCGCCGAGCCTTTTACATCGAATTGCCTTCTCAGCATGGCCATGTCGCTTCAGTGAGATAGTGAACAGAGAGGCGGCGGGCGTCGTTGTGCTCGATCGAGCAATTGCTCGAATGCCGAAGCGGGAACCGTCAGCAGCCGGACGAATTCCATTCTCAGCCAAGAATCCCCTTGTTGCCAGAACGAGTCAGCCGCTGGCCTCGCGACGTGGGATGACCCAGCTGCAGCTACAAGCATCGTGGTTTGCACGAGCCATGGCTTGACCATGCCAAGCGCGGCGCCCATTCACTGTTAGGCGACGTGCAGATCCTCGACCTTGTACTAGTAGTAGGTTGTCGTCGACAGGGACCTGGAGGCGAACGCATCAGTACCCATTTCGATCAGATCGTGTCATGCCTTCGTGCTATGCCTCCCTCTGTCTCGCTCCGCACCATTGTCAAACACGAGAGGCAGGCAATAGGTATCCCTCTGGAATCAGCTTGGTGCAAAACGCTACGTTTCAATGTGCTGCCGAGATGAAAGCATTGCATGTTATACATCCTGAGGTTCATCTTGTCGTTGTTGATGGTTGAGAAGAACGCAGATAAGCAAGCGAAGATAGCATTCCTGTCTTACAGTTTGCATCAGGGTACTGACCACAATACCGGCAGTCAGTCTCCCTAGATAGTAGTGTTCATGTGCAAGATCTTAGAAGCTCACTTGGAAGCCTTCCTGGGCCAACTCGTGAAGAAAAACCGAGACCCATAGCAACAACATTGCGACAAAAGTGATGCCTGGGCAGGACGAGTCTTCGTCATTGAAGCCGACGATATTTTCCCTCGCATTCCAATCATCGGCATGCCGTCTTCCTTCAGCGTGTCTATCTCGGCGCATGCTTTTTCTCCTCCGCGTAGATCCTTTCCCACCGCTCATCTTCGGCGTTGTCCAGGTAGGCATGGAGAGCACGCATATTGTGGGGTTGGCGTGGGTTATGAAGTCGCGCAACTTCCAGCCTTGAATCCCGGCACGAACTGAGCCGTCTTCGTGGCGTGGAAGTCTAAGTTGCAAGTGTGTCTGGTTTTCGCAGTGGATCTCATTCATGATGTCCACGTTCGTCTCCTGCCAGAAGTGGGAACAGGTTCATTCGTTCCAAAACTACCAGGCCCTCGCTGTCTATGCATGAAATGATCAGGGAAGCTTTGTAACACGTACTTGGAGCACTCATCAAGCGGCTGAATGACGAGCCTTCAATATTGATGGCCAAGTCAAGAGCAGTCGTAGCAATTCCGTGCTTGAAGAAAAGTTCGAGTGTATCCCACGGCTCTTCCGTGTGGACGTTGGACAGGCAGTCATATATCGCTTTGACGATTAAGAGATGCCAAAGAAAATGTACGGTCCCCTCTCCAATGATCCCGTCGCTGCAGAGGAACCCTGCGTGGGACCGCAGGGACGGAGAGGCACCCCTTATTAGAACCTCAGCTGTTGCGAGCAATCTCTCCTCTTTTGAGCTTTCAACCAGCAAACCCCGCACGATATCAAGCGAATTACGGCTGAAGATGGCAAATATCCTCATGAACAATCCTTGGTTTAATTCAAAGACGGATATTTGCGAAGATGGACGTTGCTTCCGGAGCCTCCACTTGACATATTCCACTTTGCCATAAGCCGCGGCCGATACAATAGCCGATGATGTCTCAGTAGATTGAATGTAGTGTGCCACGTCCATGTTGGCGACCTTTATTTCTTCACTAATTCTTACCATTGCCTTGGCCAACGGGCGTTTTACCTTCCACAGACGGTCGAGGGCAGCTGAACAGGAATCGATGTTTCCAAATGCCTTAGATCGAGAAGAGTTGATTCCCGTTTCTCGTTCAAGGCCCATCAGGGCAAAAAAGTCAGTCAAGAAACTGGGTCCCATATTTCCGGCTCTTGTGAACAGGGAAATTTCCCTCTGGGAGTACCGATGTAGATGACGGTCGAAGTGAACCAAGGATCGAAGTATCCAACTGAGTGCCATGAGTACACTATCATCTGTGATATTGTGGCCCTGGTTCTCGCAGCTTTTCTTGCGTCTTGTTGATAAAAACTCTGGTATTGAGCGATGATTGAATTGAATTTCCTTGGAATGATTTTGGCCATCAGAGTGTGTGCCAATGCAGGAAACGAGGCCATTAGTGCAGCTCACAATGTTCGTCGTGTGACGGTCGAGCCAGGCATCAACGTCATCAGGCAGCACAAAGCTCGACGTCAAATCGTCAGGAAGCTCTGCTGAGATGCGCAACCCTTCGAATAAGACGGCAATGTCGAGGGAGAAAAGACGCGTGACACGGGGGCCGGTGTATCTTCCTGAGAGTAGATAGCCTTTCCAACGGAGTACAATTGCTAATAGTAGGTGCGCCTTGTATTGTTGTTCGGGCTTGATGTTGTCAAGTATGGAATCTAAAAACACTTCCATCTTCTTTGGTGTCTCGATGTTGAGTATCCTTGGTATCGAAAAGTCATCATCAAGGGCCGTGTGAATCCTCGGCAGGACTAATGTCGCCCAGAGAAAAACTCCCTCAGCCTGGTCTGCAACTTTGTCATTCAATTCGCGGCAACTCTTGCCTTCAACAAACTGGAGCTTGAGGAATCGCTTATTCTTCATCAGGCTGCTCGTAACATGTTGTTTAATTTCTCGGTATGTAAAGTCTTGGATCCTAATCCGATGGTGTTTGTCTGCCATGTCTGAGAAATCTTGGTATTCTCGACTGGCGACGCAAATTTTCATATTCCCCAGTGAAACTTCAACCCACTCCTGAAGCAGGGTTGCTAGTCGTCCGAGTGCCATATCTTCGCTAGTATTGTCATATTCGTCGAGGCCGTCAATGAAGAAGCAAAACTTGGGATGTTCGGGCCCTTGATGCGTGATGAGTTTTTGAAAGCCTTCCATAATTGCATCATGTCCGATAGGTACATAAATCGCTGTCTTCGAAAGCCAGTCGAGATGATGGCTTTCTGGGTCCCAATATCCAGGAAAGGCTACTTCTGCGAGAGGAGGAAAGCTCTCGATGATATCGTACACGAGACTAATCACCAAACCTATGATGGTCTTTTGCAGCATTGATCCTGGCTTCCAGAAGAAGTACGATGCTAGACAAAGGGGCTTGTCGCCGGCCCAGGAGCTCAGGCAGCTCTTCGTGTCAGCGTTGTAAACAACGGACTTCATCAACGTGGACTTTCCGGACCCAGGTTTGCCTTGGAAGTGGTAGAACCCGCTACCCTCGCGGAGCCAGCTGACAAATGTCGCGTGATATTTAGCCCGAGTTCCCGGGCGATCTGTTGCAGACGAAGCAAAGACCCAGTTCAGAGTGGAACTTGTTGCTCGCACAATGGCGTTGAGGCGAGAACCTCTCGTCGCGTCTTGCTGTCGCAGGCTTGCGAGAACCTCTTGCTGGTACATGTGCTCAAGAAGGCGAGGGAACCCCTTTTGTACAGCTTGAAAAGTCTCGATGCTTCTGGCCAGCTCGTGAGATGTGGACGACGTCAGAAGTTTCTGCAGCTGATCCTCGATACGTTTCAGGGTTTTCAGGTTGGACTTCGTGTTGCCTTGTAACCTTGGAAGATAGCGCAGTATCTGATTGACTTTGAGACTAGTTTCAAGAACGCAAATTAGCCATTTGTATTTCTGGCGAGGCAAAGTGACGGGTGTACTTTGTACTCAGATCTAAAAGCCGTGAGATTGTCTGTTTGTGGGATTCCAAGGCGGCCAGCCGTGCCTGAATTTCCTTCCCCAGACGAACGACGCTCCGCATTGCGAGGAGAGCGGGCCATAGACCTTTCGAGTCTCCCACCTGGCAGAGTCTCAGGGTTTCCAATACTTCCTGGCTCGTATTGTTGCAATCTTGGACGGCGCGTCGAATCTGCACGTCAATCTGTTGACTTGGATCAGGGGGGGTCGCGGTGCACTCTTCCATTGCCGTGATGAGGTCATTGACACTTGTCTCTGCGTCGCTGTGCTCTCGAAGTTGGCCCTTTCCAGATTCACGGAGCTCTTTGCAGATTTTAAGAGCCTTGATGGCTATTTCGAGAAGCTGCAGAACGTTGCAAACGAGGGACAAGGCCGCTAAAGCCTCCATGATGGTATGAGCGACGGAGGCACAGGCCCGCCTAGCTTGGTATAGGTATGTCCCTTGCTTACGGAAT